TGGTTTGAAAAACCAGCCAAACAATGTATTTCAACTGATCATAATTCCAAATCCATTCAACTGAATGATTTATTGAATTCAAATCCACCGACCCAAACAAAGTAATTTATTTGTCAAATGCAACAAGCATTTTAACTTCGAACCATGCAGTGTTTTCATTAGGCATACAAAAGTTTGATTTTATGCATAATTTAAGAGGACAAGTTGATTGCACTAATTTGTTCGGTAATTTCTATTTCTTCAAGACTAAAAGAAAAAATCAGATGATAAAACTATTAAATAAATTATTTAAACCTATGGATGCATCCTTCAACTATGAACCAAATTTCCACTTTGATTTTTGAATTTCAAGATAGGACCCTTTAATTCCTAAAGTATAAATTTGGTCCCATCTTAGTTCCTAAGATATACAATCTGTCTTACTTTAGAAAGTACAAAATTTCTTCTACCTACGTATAAAACTTGTCTCACTACCGTCAGTCAACGAATTTCCTCGAAAGGGGTAAATTTTATATGTAGAGACTAAAGTGTCTTATTTTAAGTTTAGAAATTAGAGTAGCAATCTAAGTATGGTTGAAAGTACAAAGTGCTATTAGCCGTATGAAACAAAAAGAAATAGGCAAACAATTAGATGTACATGAGTACTACTTTTACTCCTAATGTGCCCTTAGATTCCAATTGTAGGGTGATCAGTTATGGTATCCATAGCGTTGCTTCTTTTTCGGCCAAATCCTGATTTCGTTTTGCTTCTCCCGATCGTCGAGCCTGATCGATTCGAGTCTTTTTCCTACCTCCTGCCCTCACACCCTTTTAGTGGAGTGAAAACCACCCTTTTAATTTTTTACTAAATACAAATACTGCCATGTGTAGGAAAAGAAATTTGACTTTGTTTTACTTTGATTAGAAAAACTTGTGGTAATAATAACGAAATAGTGACAGGGGATGCAAATTTCAAATCAACAACCAACGTACACTTAATTACGGTAATTTTTTAGTTGATCAGACTAATATATGCCATAAAATAGTAAGATTTGATCATTTATAAATTGACAATTTTAGCAGTTTATATACCATTCACCTATAAAAATTATGATTATTATAAAATGGCATTTTATAGTAATTTACATACTATTTGCCAATTAAAAGAAAGTTTGATAAAAAATGTGCATATAAATCCATATTGTAAATGATACAAAATATATTTGAAACTCACGAAACTTAATATATGGGTAAATTTACTATAATTTTCAAAGATTATGCTACATTAGTACAACTTTAACTTTTATACTTGTGACCTAGAAAATAAATTTATTAAAACACATAACATTTATAAATGATACATACATTTATTAAAATGCTTAAAACACGTAACATTTACGAATGATACATACAATCATATATTATACATTTACGTTACCAACAATTACTAACTATAATATTAAGTTTCAATCATTAATAAAAAAATCTTAGCATTATTTTAAATAAACTTCCTAATACTTGTTTCATATAAGTTTCTTTAAATAAAAGAGTAAATTTATGCCACAAACTAGTTAGTTTGACGATTAACCAAATTTACTATTCTATGAACAATATTTACTATTAATCTATAAAAACTTACTATTACTTGAACTAAACTTACTCTCAAAAAACTAAGTTTTAGATATAGAGTAGTAATTTACTTCAAAAAAAAAAGTAAGTTCCATATTTATTCAAATTTACTTTTTGAGACATAATCTATTGTATAATTTAAATTAAATTTAGTTCACGTATAAAATGGTCCTAAAATAATTAGTACACTATGATACAATGTTATTTTAACAACAAAATTTTTTTTACTAAAAGTCTGAAATATCCATGACATACGTATGAGGGATATTTTACCATATTTGTATCTCACATCTAATCATGAAAGTTAATTTGAGAAAAAATATTTTTGACAATAGAATTATTTTGAATTTAGTCAACAAGTTGAGATTTTTTAAACAATAAAAGTGAAATATTTTGGGAACTCAGTTGTTTATTTTCCCATAATTAAAAATTGCTATATTTTAGCAATTGTTACCATTGACTTTTCATTCTGTAGACTAATTTTTATCAATGCAAAATTAGTTTTATTAACAATAATTGAAGTTCCATTGATCCGAGGATTGGCATTTTATTGCTATTATTTTATATGTAAATATTTAACCTAAGTAATAAAATAAATAATAGCTACTTAAAAAAAAGAAATTGAAATGGAATTAAATTTATTTAGTATTTTATTGCTAACAACTTTGACCCCATTTAATGGTTAAAGAAAAAATAAAAGAGACGTAGAGATTGTGATTGGTTCCTTAGTGTGAAAAAGGAAAGTTCTTCTAAACTAATGTTGTGTGAAATTCTGGATGCATATGAAATTAGAAATGTGATAACTTTGCAATTCATTCTCATTCATGATGAATAAATTGCAATTTTTTTCGTTCAGCATGAAAACATTCTTATTTTGTCATATTGATGGCTTTTGCTTTTAAGATTATCTACATGTCGGTGGTTAGTATTATTGACAAGGTTAGAGGTTATGGAAAATGTTACTAATTTTAGGAGAAATTATGAATTGTAAAAATGGTTTAATAATTTTCTATTAAGCATAACTACTGCATACAAAAGGAAAATATATTTGATTTTATTTTGTTTTGATTAAAAGAACTTGTACTAGTAATAAAGGAAATTTCAATTCAACAATCAACGTGCACATGATTACAATAATTTTTTAGTCATTTAGACTAATATATGTCATAAAGTAGTCAGATTTAGTCGTTTGTGAATTCATAATTTTAATAGTTTACATAAAATTCATCTATAAAAAATTATGATTATTATAAAATGACATTTTATAATAATTTATATACCATATGCGAATAAAAAAATAGTTTGATAGACAAATCCATAATGTAAATGATACAAAGTATGTTTGAAAGTCACAGAACTTAACATATGGGTAATTTTACTATAATTTTCAAAGATTATGCTATGTCAATACAACTTTAATTTTTATACTTGTGACCCAAAAAATAAATTTATTAAGATTTTACCATTTTATTAAATTCATAGGCATTAATATATGAAAAATTGTGTACCATTTTATTATATTCATAGGTGTCAATATATGGAAATTGTGATGTATAGATAAGGGCAATTCTATATATAACTCGAAAGATTTGTTGTTACTGTCATCCAAACTTTCTAACCTTTAACAAATTCATAAATAAATCAAATTTATAATATGACAAATTATTCTTACATATGTTATAAGGTCATATGCAAAAAAAAAAAAAGTTTTCATAATAAAAAAATCTTAGCATTATTTCAAATAAACTTCCTAATACTTGTTTCATATAAGTTTCTTTAAGTAAAATACTAAATTTATGCCACAAACTAGTAAGTTTTGATGATTAACCAAATTTACTATTCTATGAATAATATTTACTATTAATCTATAAAAACTTACTATTACTTGAACTAAACTTACTCTCCAAAAACTAAGTTTTAGATATAGAGTAGTAATTTACTTCAAAAAAAAAAGTAAGTTCCATATTTATTCAAATTTACTTTTTGAGTCATAAAAGTTACTAATTTATTGAGTTAACTTACTACTTTTAATATAAAACTTACTAACCAAAATTTTAGGTACTATTTTATTTAGATGACCAGTACAACAGGTAATCAAATGGTCGCTAAAAGTGTTTTTACCTGTTATATCAGGTAAAAACAGTTTCGTTATCACAACGATTGTTACTTCAGACTTTTCCTTAAATTGAATGCCCAGATGGCAACACAAGGAACTTAGTATTGCATCTTTTTGAATTCTATCTAATCTAGGTGAGTTACTTGGAATTTATCTGTGGGTTTGTTAAAATCTGCAGTATTACCAATGATTTCGTGGTAGGCAAGAAGTATTGTGGTGCAATAAGCAAAGAAAAGAAAATTGGTTTTTAGAATCTGAAAGTGAACTTCTAGAACCAGATTTACAAGATAGCATAGCACATTGTAGCAAGGTTCATTTTAGGTGAGTTGTCCAGAATTTTGTCCTTTGCTGAAAATTATAGGACTTTTATTTAATGACATTGCTCTTTGTCATTTTTGGCATTTTAGGTTATTTGATTCAAAATAGTTGTTGCTTGTTTTTGTTTTTCCCCCCTAAGGGAGAGTATATAGTTATTCCTGTGGCATTGGATAGTGAAAACTTTTAAATACTAAAAGACCAAAAGGCTTCATCTTATTAATCTTCAAATGGTAAAGACGGTGTAATTTGCTAAAAGAGTGTGATGGGATCATGGGACCATCGTAATAGAGTGATGGATCATAATCCCTAAAGAGGGATATTTCTTACTTAATTTCAAATGAGGGCAGTGGTATTCAGAGTGAGCATGGATACACATCTATGGTGAGTGTGAACATTTTTAGTATTACATTCACACTTGTGGAGTTTTAAGCATGCAATCGATTAATCTTGAGTTTTTTTTTTTTTTTACATATGATTTTTCCACCCCTCCTCGCTCCCAGCTGCAGGATTCGAACTCTGAATCTAACAGTGAAAAACTCTTATAGCTTTCCCCCTATTTTGAGTGAATGTGTTTTAGAACACTTTGTTTAGAAATTAAGTAGAAATTATCGTAATGTGAGAGTATCTTTGAACGATTACTATTTTATTGTATTATAAAAAAATTTTCTATAACAATTTTTTGCTTTATAGCTGTGTTGATATTAAAAATGTGGTTAATTTGTTATAGAAAAAATAAAAAGGCGATTAACTTTAAAAAAGAGTTAGTCTTGACGCTATATTATCACGATTGAATTCGGTGATATGTCAATAAAATTTGTTAAAATTTTGCACATATAACATATTTAAAATCGTTTCATAAACATTTTTTTTTACAAAGTTTCACAACAGAAATGGCAAATACACACAAAATTGCAAATATGAGCAAAGGCTGGGGTTTCATTGCAAATTTGCAATGGACGCGATTCTTTGACAAGCTTTCAGAATCTCTCCACAGTCCCCAGCATAAACCCTGAATCTCCAATCCCGCATAAAAACAAGACAATCCTCTGAATTCCTAGAGCCCTAGATCCCACAATGGCCCTTCGCCTTAAGCTCCGATCAATCTTGCTGCTTCAAAACCGCCGCCGTTTCTCAACCTCAATCCTAAATCCCAACTCAAATACCCCACTGACCGGCAAGGAAAAGTCTCGGGCCGCGCTCTCTCTCCTTCGGGCCGAGAAGAACCCAGAACGAATACTCGACATTTGCCGCGCTGCTTCGCTGACTCCGGAATCCCATCTCGACCGCGTCGCCTACTCCAAAGCCATTTCCAAGCTTAGGGACTTAAATTACTTCAATGGGATTCGGTCTTTTGTCGAGGAGTCCATGGCCCGGCCCGATATGAAGTCCGAGCGATATATTTCCCATTTTGTTGTTCTGTATGGGCAGGCTGGCATGGTTGCTGATGCACGCAAGACGTTTGAGGAAATGCACGAGATGGGTCTCGATAGAACGGTAAAAACACTTAATGCTTTGCTGTTTTCTTGCGTTTTAGCCAAGGACTACAAGGAAATGAAGCGGATTTATATGGAATATCCAAAAATTTATGGGATTGTCCCGAATTTAGATACTTACAATAATGTGATCAAAGGGTTTTGTGAGTCTGGTGAGTCGAGTTCTTGTTACTCGATATTGGCTGAAATGGGTAGGAAAGGGGTTAAGCCGAATGGGACAACGTTTGGGACGATGATTGCTGGATTTTATGAGGAGGAGAAATTTGAGGATGTCGGTAAAGTGTTGAAGATGATGAAAGAAGAGCATAGCATAACTCCTGGGACTAGTATTTATAACATTAGGATTCAGAAGCTGTGCAAGTTAAAGAGGAGTAGGGAGGCAAAAGCATTGTTTGAGAGTATATTGTCGAGAGGCTATAAGCCGAATAAAGTAACTTATTATCACTTAATTCACGGGTTCTGTAAGGAGGGAGATTTGGAGGAGGCAAAAGGGTTGTTTGAGAGGATGGTGAAGAGTGGGATTAAACCCGAAGGCGAATGCTATTTCACTCTGGTTTACTTCCTGTGTACAGGTGAGGACTTTGAGGCTGCACTAAAGATCTGTAAAGAGTGTCTTGCAAAGGGTTGGGTTCCAAATTTCACGACTATGAAGTTGCTTGTGGAGGGTCTGGCTAGCATTTCAAAGGTCGATGAAGCAAAGGAGATTATTGGGCACCTAAAAAAGGAGTTCTCAGCAAATGCTGATCGGTGGACTGAGATTGAAGAAGGATTGACAAAGTAGACAGGATGAACATGGTAGTCTATTGAATCTGCTTCTGCATCATACGATGATCATACTGAGACCAAGTTAGAAATAATTTGTACGTAATTTTTGTCTGGATAGAATTGTAGTTTTCTACTCAGTTCTGGTAGCTCGGACAAGTTTTGATTTTGATAATTTTGTTATGATCAGTTGCTCAGTTTATTAAGGTGTTTTATCAATTAAACTAACTCTGCTGGAGATAAATGGTACCCAAATGCAGTTCAACGTATCATATTTCCTTTCGCATACATTTGGAGATACGTTTCCATAACATGAATGTACCACCGGTGCTGCTTTTATATGTATTAGGCTTCAGACAGGCTCAAGGACTCAGAATTTTCACGAGATATTCTATGTTTACAGGCTCCAATTGTACTCTCTGATTGATGTTAGTGTGGGCATTAATTATGCTGAATGTGGCATGTGTAGGATCATGCATTGCGATTCGGGTGTTCATTTCAGCTGAATAAACATTCGTGCTTCTCAACCAAAGCTTTTACTCTCGAGGAATTCAATGGCCTATAACCTGCGGCGAGGTTTATTAGAATCTTACAGGACGAGCATCATTTGCTGAATGAATCATCTTTTCGAGACAAGTGGTTCACAAATGCTAGAATGTCAATTCATTATTACAATCCTAGGTTACTTGTTCGCCAAAGAAAGAAAAAAACTCAATGCTGGGAACTCTAGAGAAGCCATCCCAGGCCCCTCCTTGTACCGCTTTCTGGGTGCAATGTGCGCTTTGATTGAAAAGCTGCAAGTCTGAGAATTGCATACGAGCATGAATATTAATCTGTCATTAATTGTTGTAAATTCGAGGCTATAGCAAAAGGTGTAAAAAGTGTTTTATTTTTAAAAAATAAAATAAAATTTCGCGTTCTCATGTACAATGATTCTGTTAAGTACAAAAATACATCTGAAGCATTACTTTCTCTTCCAAAAGAAAGAAAGAAAAGGATAAAAAATATACAAGAAAAGTGAACATAAACTCACGACTCTGTTTAAGAAAAGCAAAAACACAAAATTCCAGCTCTGCTTTTGCTCTGAACCAGAAAAGCACATAAATTTAGTCTACAACGAAGTTGTCATTGACTTGGACCCAGTCTTTAGGTGTTGTATTCCATATGCGGCTGTTGAACCGACAGTTGTTAGAGCAACCAACCAGCTGAGAAGCATGCCAAGCGTTATTCCGGTGTAAAATGACACAATTCTACTACATGAAATGCCAAACTATTTCCACAAAGTAAAGCACCTCAGATATGTAATGTATGACTGAGTTTCCTCGTTACCAAATTCTGGTTGCAGAAGAGCTGCAGCAACTAGGACCAATTGAAGAACTGTGTTCAACTGTCAACATATATATCAGAACTTAGCTAAAAAGAAATAAAATTTATATTTAGGATGAATCAAGTGAGCAATATACAGCTGATCCAATACAGTCATCCTAACAATTTCCCGCACGTCCTCTCATGATATTAGTGTGCTAAGTAATCACTAGAAGCAGATCCCGACTCAGTTAGCTTCCTCTTTTCTTTTTCCCCTGCTTAAAATGACCTTGGTTTGCCACTGAAAACAACTTACTAAGATGCAGATAGAGATTTCATCTTTTAGTTATGAGAAACCCATCCTTCCCTCTTCCTATCTCTTCTTGGCACATTTAAAGAGGACATGAAGAAGCATATCAAACTGCTCTCACTAAATTGATGGATTTCTGATTATTGTGCTGTATCTTTTTCACCAAGTACCCAGGCGTGAGAAAATGAACATACCTTGCTTATCAAGAGAGGTTCAACTTTCTCAGGGCAAGTCCCATCAAGGTTGAAGAAATCAAACCAACTCTTCCACTGTGACAAGAATTTAACTCAATAGTGTCAAGCAAAGATAGAGCAGCTCAGTCATAAAGAGCTTCAGGTAGATCTCCCTCACCTGCCATTGCAAACTGCTAGCTCTTTTATAGACTGCCCCGCCAACAAGGGCAACATCACGCAACACAACAAGCGCAACAAGTCCGGCTACAAAAGATAAAAGACCAATTGAATAAGTATCTAAAGAAAGGATGATATTATCTTCAAAAATTTAATTTTAATCCTAGAAATTTCTCTTGTATCAGTTGGCCATCTAACTGGCAGACTTGCATAAATATATCATTGACAAAGTTTCTAGCTCAAAAGGTGGACATCTTTTTTGTAAAGAAAATTAACATCACACAAAGGGGAATATCTGACATACAATTATTTGGTACTAAGTATACAGAAAATAAATTACTAATTGTTTTAGAAAAAGAAAAAGAGTAATTTTTTTGTCACCACACTGTTACTTGCAATGTTACCAATGGCATTAGATATTTGATCAGTAGTTCTTCGATTTAAAAAAAAATGACAAAAAAGGCACATACAAGTAGGAAACCAATTACACACTTACGGTGCAGAAGACCTTTATAAACCATGCCCAAAGCAACAGATCCAATTAGTACCTGCACCCATGAATGCAATGAAATACTGAGAAAAATTACACTAACCAAGTAATGCTGTGAAAAAGATGTCACATTCATTTATTAGAAGTGTAAGACAAAAGGAAAACAATATTAAAATTTTTTAATGTAATCGGGCAGCCCAGAAAAAGTTGATTATTACCTTGTCAGCAAGAGGATCAAGGTAGGAACCCACCACAGAATTGATTCCCATCTTCCTGGCCAAGTAACCATCTAGCTACAAAATTGGAAAAATTAGAAGATATTGGCATCCATCTAGCTACAAGGAAGATTGGAAAACTTAGAAGATATTGGCATCTCCTTGTATCAAACATCCAATAATGACAAGACTAGAATTCCCATACCCAATCAGTCACACCAGAGATACCTAGACCAACAAATGCTGAAAGATACATTTCATGGGTGATCATCCTGTAAAGTCAATTAGAACAATACTTTATAATGGCCAAATATACAAGACAAGTTGAATAATAGAACTGTTGGTTAAGAGCACAGTTGAATAACTGAATGTAGAGGTGACTGAATAAGCATCTTACTCCTATAACACTATTCCCACATGCAATGATAAGCAAACTAGACTGAAATACTATAGTACCAACCCAACACATCATATTTCAACTCTATTTGCCAAAGCAAATGCAAACACGCGCACAAAGAGAAGATAAACCTTTCAAGGATTCTAGTACAAGCATGTTTAGGAGATAATAATGGGATACTCAGTGCCAAAATTTTGGCTTAAACTGTTATATAATGTTCCTCAAGGCATGTGCTATCTCAAACCTGATCAAGAAACACACAATAAATAAAAGAGGGAAAAAAGGAGGAAGCAGCAAAACAAAACCCAGTAATAGAGGATTACCCACATATCCTCATCGAGGATCAGTATTGCAGAAAACAAAGATCACTATACTACTTTTGATTCCTAATGTAGTATGCAAAGGTACATTGTTACTAAACAACCGATAAATGTTGTGCAGGTTCATAATCCAACAGTCATTATTGTCTTTCAAGGTTGCCTGAAGCCTGGACTGCACTAAGAGAAATAAATCCTAATTTCTTAGAACGACCACTTTCTCATGTATGTTTAGCAACTAAAATCCGACTAAACAAATTAGCAAGCAGTAAAATTATGGACTTTTACAAATTAATATTCTTTACTTCTCCATCTTGTTCAATTATGCTTGGATACATCACAGAGAAAAGGTTGTAATTGAGTTTTACCATAAAATTTTCAGCAAAATGTGGTTTTTCCCCTTCATTTCACCATCAATATCGAAAGCACGTAAACATTTTGTATTTTCCGCATGAATAAAAAAACCAACAAACATATTAAATTCATGAATTTAAAAAAAGGGCCAAATTTGAAAAAGAAATATACCATCCAAGCAGTGGGCCGGAGACTAATCGACTGAAAGAAATAAAATTGGGAAGATTCAAATAGCTATCAGTAACTTTGACCAGAGCATCAGAATCAGCATGATCAAGCTTGGGCCCATTAAATCCCTCACTATATTTCTTCTCCTTGCTGTTTAAATCCTGAAACCGTAGTTTGTACGTAATAATGTTATTCAGGGCATATGGGACCCTGGGTGAAAGATTGAGCAAGGCGACGTCGCATTGGAGGTGAAGGGGAGTGGCGGATTGAGATAGCTTCCAAGGGGGCGACGAGAGAAATAGAGGGCCAAAAGTGGACGAAGGGATAGGAGGGAGAAAATGGGGCCGAAGAAAAAATGGGTTTTTGATAATGTTACTATTGGAATTGTGGGATATGTAGGACTGGGAACTGGAGCAGAGGGAGACGAAGGTTCTAGCAGAAGAAGAAACAGAATTAGGGTTTTGAAGCGGGGATTTCGTGGATTGGGAAATTAGGGTTTTAAGGATTGATCGGAAGAAGGCCATGGCCGATGATGGTCAAGCATTGTTTTTGCAGTTGCAGAAAGGTGGAAGGACAGTTTGGAGGTTAGGGTTTTACAAAGGGTTTTAGAGGAAGAAGATGACACGTGGCAAGTTTACACGTGTTACAGTCAGAGGAGCGGTTTTCTTTTTTGGTTTGGAAAAATTTTTCCTTTTTGGGTTTCATTCTCCTGGCTGTGCTATTTCAATTGTGTTATTTGAGATACGGCTAAGTATTTCTATTTTGAGTATATTTCTTGGAGTAAATAATGAAGAGAGTAAAATGCAGTTTTCAAACCCAAAGTCTAACCGTTCAGTAATTTTGGTACTCAACCAACTAGGAGTAGATGGCCACCATGGAGAGATTTAAAGCTTTTCTTGGATGTAGAGGAAGAGATTATTTGCATTCTAAAAAATCTAGAATTTCCTGAAAAATTTCGCCAGCAGATACATAAACTGATAGGCACCCGAATGGGTCTGTGGCGGTTCAATTTTCTTCGAATTTCCCGTTTTGATCCCTTTGGTCCTTCTTTCCCTAGATAGGAGTAGTTGTAGAATGGAATGTATTGTATGAAAAAAAAAGAGTAATTTTGATACTCAAACTTCACAAAAACAAATTTGGTATCTGACGTTATAAAATTTAATCACAATACACTCAATGGAATTCTTCACATTCATTCCTACTAGAAAAAAATACATGCTGTGTATGTCAACAAAATTATAAACCAATATCAAAAAAATTGGAAAACAACACTCAAACTAGATTCCAAAGAAAGTTTCAAAACCTAATATTGAACGAAAAGATCCAAAGAAAAACCTTTCTATATCTTTGTGACACTTTTGACTTGACTCTCAATATTTTTCAATATTTTCGAATATTTTTAAAATTTTGCTAACATACACATGATAGGATGTGACTTTTTCCAATAGGAATTTTAAAAAAAAATTTCCATCAAGTGAAGTATGCTTAAATATTATAATATTGAGTACCAAATTTGTTTTGAAATATATTCTCTCTAAATGAAAATATTTTTCTCTCTTTTTTTTTTTGCTTTGTCAACAAATGTTACTAGGAACTACATAAGAACAATCAAATAAATTTGATAGATGAAGTTATTGTTGTCCAATAAATATATGGGACGCGAGGCCTTGTTTGGATTGCCGGTTTCCGTAGAAAAATTACGTCGTTTTCCGTGATCACATTTCCCTATTACCTTTTTCCCTCACATACATCAAATCGCTACAGTAATTTTTCCATGAAAAATCACGGAAAATGCAATCCAAACACAACTTTTTAGTATGACGGGGTGTGGATTTAACCCCTCTCGTTCAAATACGGCATGTTTCATAATTGAATGAGCAATTTATTTATCAATGAAAGTATAGTTTATGTTGGTTTGGAACACCACATGAGGTATTCTTAGGGCTGCAAATAAACCGAATCGCTCGCGAAACTCGACTCGAGCTCGAACTCGAGTTCAAAATATTAAGCTCGAATATATATATATATTTTTTATTTTAAGTATATATATATTTTTTATTTTTTATTTTAAGTGTATATATATTTATTTTAAGTATAAAATTACATATATATCCTTAATATTTTATTATTTATTAAGAAAAAATATTATTTTATTTATTTTTTTAAAAATAAAATAATTATTTTTTTATTTTTTTCGAGTTCGAGCTCGAGCTCGAGCTCAATAAAATTAAATCAAGACTTGGCTCGATTAGACCAAAACTCGACTCGACTTGACTCGTTTGCAGCCCTAGGTATCCTTTTCTCTTGGTTGTATGGGATTTAGTGATGATTTTCCATAAACGAGAACTGAGAAGCACCCATTTATTCTGCTTACCCATCCAATGCCAAGAAAGGATTTAGTCAACTTTGCAATAACTTGGTCATATTCATACGATATATCTATAATAGGAAAAATTCTTCAAAACATCCCTTAGATTTCGTCAAATAAATTTTTTTTGTCTTTTATTTTTAAAATAATAATTTTCCATCCCTTATAGAATCAAGTTGATAAAATTCGGCCCAACTTAAGTTTTCAACCAACTTTTATTTTGAACCCACTCACACATGATCATTTTTTCAGAGGCAAAAAGGTTTTATCTCATATATAATTAAATAAATGGTTTAATCCGTTGGTATTTTTAACCCTAAAAAAGTAGGATATAACCCAACTTATATTCATTTTTTTTCTAAAAAATTGAGATCTGACCTAATCCATATTCATTTTGCCACTAAAAAATTGGGATGTGATGTGACCTTTTTGTACATGAAAAATGACTGCAAGCTGGTCTGTAGTAATTTTAGGCTCAAAAGCGATCGAAAATTTAGAATGGGATCAAATTTTGCTAATTTGAATTTTTAAGGGACATAAAGTTAATATTTTAAAAATAAAGGTTAAAAAAAATCATTTGACAAAATATGAGGGAGGTTTTCAACAATTTCCATTTATAATATTCTCGTTTATAATATTCCGCTTATAATATTCTCGTACTTCTCTACCCAAGACTTTAACGAATATAACGGGCTTCCAAGTCATTAGCTGCCTGAAAGTAGTTACTTCCACGACCCCAATTGAGTTTCTTACCAAATCTTCTTCCAACACTTTTTTTTTTCTTTCTTTTTTCCTGTGAATGAACAACCTTCTTTAAGTTCAAAAACAATACATTCTTTAGCTTTCTTTTTCCTTTATGATGCCAGCTTGTATTTAATTAATCTGAAAATATCCTTCGGCTCCGAGGAGATATTGAAACATTACCTGGCATTGTCAATAAATGAAAGAGAAAGATGGAAAGATACCACATTTTATGATTGTTTTCGAACCTGAGAAGGTTTGTTGGGAAAATCAAAAGGAGGGGTGTGGAAGGAGATGAGATTATTGGCCTGTTGCACAATGCAGCGCAGCACCACAATGAGGAAGGCACCTTTGAAAGCATCTAAGAGTTCTATCAACGACGTGAAGATCTCCAAGAAATATGATGACTCTGATGCATTGTCCACCATTGTCAGAAGTGTTTCTCTGAATACAGGTTACCCCAGCCAAACAATATTTCATCTCTTGTCTTTCATTTTCGAGCTTTTTTTTTCCCCTTTTTGTTTGGCGATTTATGTATCTGATAGGTTTAATCTATACAAAGTATGTGCATTTTACACCTGAACATGGTTTTTGCAAGTGTGCAGAAAATGTCAAATGTTACTTTGTGCTCCAGCATTCTTAACAGACTTAATAATGTTTGATCAATCCTCTTTTTTGACGTTAAGGCTTGTAGGAAATAACTGAATGCATTAAAATTGATCACCTTGTTAAGAACAAGAAGATTTCAACACAATTTCCTCACCACACTAGATTCTTCTTCCCAAATGCACAAGCGCAAGCCTTTGCAACATAGAGATTATGAGATTGCAGGAATATAAGCTGATTGTCTTGTTGCTTAAGATTTATCTTGTTATAACCCGTATTATACACACGGGTGTGATGATCTATACAGGCCCTAGTAAACAAAGAACAGTAGCTGAGGACATACTTCGTTATGGACATGTTAAAGTTGCAGCAGAGGTATTCACATTTCGCGAACTCGCAGCTGCAACGGACAATTTCAATTCTGAACTACTGGTGGGAGAAGGAGGATTTGGAAGGGTCTATATGGGACGCCTCAAGAAAACCGATCAAGTATCTCTCTCTCTCTCTGTCTCTCTCTCTCTCTCTCACACACACACACACATATTTGAAGTATCATGACCATCCTTGTTCCCATTTAAAGGTTGTTGCAGTCAAGCAACTTGACAGGAATGGATTTCAAGGAAATAGGGAGTTTCTAGCAGAAGTTCTGACACTAAGCCTTGTTCACCACCCAAACCTCGTAAATCTCATAGGGTATTGTGCTGATGGCCGCCAAAGAATTTTGGTCTACGAGTACATGCGTAATGGATCACTAGAAGATCACCTCTTTGGTAAGCACAATATTAAGTTCGGGGACAGCGACATTTCCCATGGAGAATGATCCCAAGAAGCAGTATCAATTATTTGTCAAAACATACATTATTGTTTTGGTTTTATCCTTCGACAACATGCTAATTGGTCAATAGTATAAAGATTGTTTGTGCTTTATGTCTTACATTACATTCTAATGATGTTATCTGTTTTTCAGATATTCCTCCACATAAGAAGCCTCTAGATTGGTTTACTCGGATGAAAATAGCTAAAGGTGCAGCACAAGGACTTGAGTACTTGCACGACACAGCCAACCCACAAATCATCTATCGCGATCTAAAAGCATCTAACATCTTATTAGATGATGAGTTTAATCCTAAGCTCTCTGATTTTGGACTTGCTAAGTTAGGTCCAACAGGAGACAAAGATCATGTCTCCACCAGGGTAATGGGGACCTATGGCTACTGTGCTCCAGAGTATGCAATGACAGGCCAACTGACGACGAAATCTGACATCTATAGTTTTGGGGTGGTCTTGTTGGAGATCATCACAGGAAGGAGAGCCATCGATAATACAAGGCCTACAGCAGAGCAGAACCTGATTTCTTGGGTTAGTTTCTGGACTTGCTATTTTTGAATTGACTAAAGAAGCTTCGGCACTTATTTCTATAACTTAAAGAACCAGTAACCAAGCCATCTTTCGTTCTGAGATACCTTAATGTTCATTTGGATAATTGGATGCAAGATTTTTTTGGGTTCAGTATTCTGCACTAACAATTTGAAAGTCGAAAGGCAAATATTCTACACGTCTGTCTGCAGGAGTAATCATGTCAATTGGAGTAATAGCTATACTATACTATGGTACTTGACAAGAAACGTTTCAATATAGTTTATTTGTATAAATTTTAATTGTCATGTTGAATACATGTGCAAGGCACGTGCATTTTCCTAGTTCATGTAAAATGGGGTAATAGCTATACTATGGTACTTACCAAGAAATGTTTCCCAACAATGTAGTTGGTTTTAACATTCTTTGATTGTCATTTAGTTTGCCCATGATTTTGTTCTCATTCTTGCAGGCAAAACCTTATTTTAAAGACAGAAGACAATTTACATTCCTGGCTGACCCTTTGCTGGAAGGGGATTACCCTGTAAAGTGTCTTCATCAAGCTGTTGCTGTTGCGGCTATGTGCCTCCAAGATGAAGCTAGCACCAGGCCTTTCATTGGCGATGTTGTTACTGCTCTCGAGTATCTAGCCATGAGCACAGATGAAAGCTTCAGCGACGAAGAAGAAGCGATAGATTTTCAGTAGACATAGAAAATCATTTGCTGACACTCGTAGAGTCAGAAAATTAAATGAGGCCATAGACATTCCTTTGATCCTGAATATAGGAACAGCAGCTGATGAAAGTTATATGAGAAGGTATCCTTAATTGACCTATCCCATTTTGCATTTGACAGGAAGAAAAAAGGAAAAAGAGAGAAACAGGAAGAAGAAAAGTGGTAATTGACGACTTTTGGGAAGTCACAAGTTGTATAGTACCCTCAAAGGAGGGGGTTAAGAGTGTTTCTCCATTGAGAGACAAAGTATTAAACAGTTCCCTGTTATGAAGTCTGTAGGTTATCATCTTATCTGTCAAAAGATTAGCTAATGGTTGCTCCATTTGCATTGATTCTTCAGTATCCTCATTAGATATAAGCACATGTACCTCAGTACATTGACATTTGAACATTAAAAAGCACATTTTCTTGAATCTTCCATCTGCAACCTATATCTGTTACTTCACAAAGGAATCCGAACTGGTAAGTTTCTAAATTCAATGCAGCATAATGTGCCTGCTACAGAACCTTATACATGACCACTTAAACACCTGAATACATCAAAATTCAGAACACAACAATGTAGCTGTATTTGTTTGAAATAAGCCTGGAAACAGTTGTAGGATATCATGCTTTTAACCTTGGAAATGTGCAGCTTGACAAGCGGAAATTACACTAGTTAAATGGAGTTACCTGTGACTGCATAAACATGTTTACATTCAATTGATACTTCTAAGTTCCTGTCTAGCGTACAACTAAATATCAAATTACATGAAGAAAGGGGACATTAACCAAGTACATGGTCAATATAAAAGTAATCTTCTCTTTGATGAACCAAGAGAAAGAAAAAGAGACAGAAAAGGTCCTCTTAGCTAGAGGCAATGAGGATCTTGAAGTAGCACTATTTGGGATCAGTGCCTTCAGACTCGGATGACCAAGCAACAACTGATCTGGCTTTTGTTAAAGACAACAAAAACCAATTGCATATGTGACAAATTCCTAAACAGGGACACCATGTACAACCAATTGCCCTCTTCCTGTAAAGGTCCTCAATCTTTAAGGGAAGCTGTTATGAGAAAGTAAACGTCATACATGATCCTCATACCTCCAGAAGGTACTACTCATCAATAAAAACATACCAAGTGAAGTACTTCAGCACGGTACCATACCAGTGGCTGGAGGTTCATTACCTGAGGAATTATACTGAAGCACGAAAAAGTTGAGATAAAGGAACTGAATCACAGTTTCTGATATTCACAGGCAACTTTTTGACGTGTATCATTTAATTTTGATGCTAAATAAACATGGAAAATCAGGTCCCATAAGATAGGAAGTCCATGAGAAAGATAGAATGTTATCTGAAAACTTTCTCCTGCCTAACAACCTTATGAAGCATCAAACTAATGCTCCATAATGGTACTAGACCTCAAACTCCTTCATATCAGCTCTGAGATTTCTATAACTGAACCGAGGAAATTCACCCAATCGATGGCTGTCGGATACTTCCACCATTGAGCACATGCCTGGTCGCACACCAGAACCTGTACCTCCTCTTCTTTTCTTCCTCCTCCATGTCAAATTCAAGAACCTGAAACTAGGCCAGGATTTAATTCCAGTGGATGTGAAGTCCTGGACATGTCTCTGAGGTTGTACAGAGCTTCCACAGCAGTCTACTTCCAGTCTTCGGAAATACTCAATCTCCTTCTTGAGAAGTGATCCTACCGTCCCCCTTGTGCCAACTTCAACTGGAGCACCTGTACCCATTTGTTCAGGCAACTTGCTAGTTATGTTGCTCACACTGTATATCGTTTGTCTGTACACTGCCATGGCACCAAAGAATTGGAATGGAAGAATGGTTGTTTGAAGCCTTTTAGGTCCTTGTCTTTGATGAAAGTGCGCTTTTAAGTTTGGATCACCTCATCTTTGATTTGCTTTACTACATGCTTTATCCAAAGTGGACAGCATGGGAAGTATGATTATAAAAGCAGCAGTGGGAATATGATCATCATATATGTTTGCAATCAAAGCAAATAAAAAGTCCTAACTGTTCCCCCTTTTTGACTTCTTGATCATGCAATTGCTTGCATATGCAACACACCCTTCATAATGATCAAGGTTCTTTCACTATTTTTTTCCCCTCTCAATGGGAGTAGTAGTTCACGTCTCCAATGTTCATTTTCTCTTTTTTTCTTCACATAATCGCATTTTCTAAGAATTGAGCCTGTAGCAACTGTTACTGGTTAGTCAAGAACTATCCCAAAATAATAAGCTAAACATAAAGCTTCCTCATTCATGATTCCAAAACAATAAAGAAAAACATTTTTGACTTGCCAAATGATAAATACATTTAAGATTTTTTTCCTCTCTCTTACACAAAGTAAAGTTTGATATTCAAAAGCTGACACAACAAAAAAAGAAACACTCACCAGGAGATCCACCCAAGCACTAGCACCAACAAGCACTGAAAAGCCCAAAAGAACCTGCAAGAGAAAGGACGGTAAATAGTATCAAATCAGAAGTAGGACTGCAAAGAAAAACTAGAAGAACATAAAGAAGATGAATTAAATGAACAGTAATAAGCCTCGACCAAGTACTCTCTCAAAAGCACTTTAGAGGTATAATATGTTAAATCCATAAGATTACCATTTAGAAAGTGCACGTGTATCAAGTGAACAAGAAAATTTACTAAAGGGTTTCATGGATATTAAAAGTTGTCAAAACTTCAGGGGATGCTTGTGCTTGCGAAGTCAAGTAACAGAAATGCCAATCCAACTTCACAAGTCTGTTAGCTACCATATTAAATGGTTACTCATTGAAGCAACAACTGTTTCATTTATAACATCCTAATGTTCTAGAATATCCATCAGAATGCAAGACTTAACATGAGATTCAAGAGGATAAGTTAGTTCAACCTTAACTTTTTTCTAATGATAAAAAAATGAAAACCCAATGAATGCAAAAATCTTCTAAGACGAAGTCTAAGATACTAAAATATAATTGCCGAATACTAGTCGTGTTTCTACAGGTAAACTAAGGACCTAGAGAGAGAGAGAGAGACCACTTGGAAAAGGCAGCAGCATATAAATTTGGATGTCCATGCTAAGCGATATTTATAAGAATCACTAACCCATGGAAGGTAAGCAGCTGTGAAAGTAAAGAGACCCAAGAAGCTCATGTGGATGAATGGATTTTGCTTGCTCCAAACATAAACCTATAAAACAGCCAGAAAAATTAGTTTAAACAAAAATGTGAAACTTAAGGACAAACTCTGGAGCTAAAAGTTGTAAACTAACCATCATAAATGTCAGTGAATTGCTGAGGAAGATGATCCTTGCAAATGATTCTGAAACATAAGGTATCATCCCACCTATAAGAACTATTCCAGTTAAAACAGTGGCTCCAAACAACAGCATGTAAAAGAAATCTGCTGTCCTTCCCCTGAAAGAGTTTTCCTCAAGAAGCTTGCAGTAGCGAGCCAGAAAAAACATGTGAAACAGAAAGTCCAAGTCTGCAAAAATCAGAATGACATATATTTATAAAAGTGAGGAACTAAAATTGATCACATTTACTCCCAAAAAAAAAAAGCTCGCATTCTAATCAACTGCAATGCTATAAGTCAATCCTATACATCAAGGCTCGACCTAAAAAAATGCAGACACTTCAAATCTCACTCGTAAATTTCTCAAAAAGAAAATGCAAATGCAGATGTAAGAACTTAAGATTCAACTTTAAAATCTGATTGCCTCCTGAAACAGGGCCTGTCTGTGTTTTAAAATACATCCTATGTCATACAGCTTAGGAAAAGCCAAAAGCTCCAATGTAATAAAGAAGCAAATACAGGCAAAAGGCATTCAGACTAAATTGACACGATTAATAGAAAACAACCAAAAATATGGTCCGCAAAATGCAAATGTTACAACCCTTTTCCATTCTATAAGTTACAGACTACCCTGTACTTCTCATAAAAGAAATTACATGCTGCCCTGCACATCTCATCCAGCAATCAACACTAAACACCCTCGAGTTTCAAAAGCAAAACTGACTTGACTTTTTGACTCATCGTAGCATACAGCACCTCAGCACTGATCATTGGCAGAAACAATTAAGATATTCACCAAAATGAGGTACACATCTACTTTGACAGTTAATTACCCATTTTACGGAAGTACAGGAAATTGGTAATGAGGCGCCAGAACTGATAATGCTTCACCACCAGCTTGGGATTCAAGTACAAGTTATACGGAGATATTATCTGCAACAACCACCCAAAAGAAAGCCTCAAGATTGCAATCAAAACCCCAAGAAGATTATGTAAAAAAAATGAAAGTTCAAAAAAGAAGCAATCAGATTCCAAATTTGATCAAATTGTGGCAATCAGTCCAAATCCGTATCAATAATTCACACCCACTTATCACACATCACCCCAAAAAGACCTAATTTAAACTTGTGATATGCACAACCAGAGTGTAAAACTGTACAAGTACAGTGTAAGAAAACAAAACCCTAACTCAACAACTCCAAAAACCCAATTTCCCAACAATTAACGAAACCCACAAAAATCCCAAATCCAAAAGTCCCTTTCCCCAAGACCCACCAAAATTTCACCCAAAAAAAAAAAACAACCACAAAAACCAATAAAATCAACCAATACATGAAATGGAAACAAAAAAAGCACATACATCGAGGGAACAACCGATGGTGGTGACAATTGCAGCTGTGAGGTAAGAGCGGGTAATGATGGGCATCTGCTTATACCATTCTTCCACTGCTTGCGCCATTTTTCCCTTCAATTTTTTCCCCCCAAAATCAATCAAATCCTACTTTTTTTGCTTCCCCTTTTACACCTATATATATGTATAGACAGAAATTCTACTGGGATTTCTTGAATTCCAGCTCAACCAGGCGATACAATCACCAACCCGTAATCCTACCAATATATGTTTACGTATGGGAACAAATTTAATTGGAATGATGAAAATGCCCAAATTCGCTGGGACTTTTTTGTGCTAATCTTCTTGAGTTGGGCGGCAGGGTACCACTCGCGGATATGTGAGGTGAAATTCACGGACCAATGGATGATTTAGGTGATTGGCACTGACCAATTAAGTGTTAAGTGGTGATGTATGAGACCGGAGCGTGGATGAAAATTTGAATTTTGGATTTTTTTTTTTTTTTTTTTTTTTTGGTTTAGTAGTGGGGAGAGAGTTTGTTTGGATTATATGTATTTACATGTGAAATCAATCTGGGTTCCTGAAAAAAAAAAAAAGAGAAATCAATCTGGGAATTTATGGATTGCAGTTGTGGCGCCAGGAGGCACGGGCAATCAAAATCTATCTACCTACCTATTACTCCCTCCGTCCCACTTTAATAGTTCTATATTTCTTTTTCATCTGTCCCAAATTATAGTCCACTTTCCAATTGAAAAATATAGTTATATTTTAATTTTCCTAAAATATCCTTATTCAATGCAAGTAGTTGTTACTATAAACCTAACACATTTAATGAGAGTTGATTCTTTTTTCACCATCAATTCAAGTTCTCATAAAGTTGTACCATATTTAATGTGAGGGTATTTTAGGAAAATAGCAATCTAAATTTACTTTTCTAACAAAATTAATTACTTTTTTTTAAATTGTGTGAAAAAAGATACAGGACTATCAAAGTGGGACGGAGGGAGTATATAAGAAAGAAGCGAGATTACTGTAGCAGTCTCTATGACTGTCAAATGGCTCCCATTTAGTTTGACATGTGGATCATTAATCCTTTGAAGAAGCTATCTATATTATTTTTCCTTTTTCTTTTGGTTTTCTTTTTTCCCTCATTTCTTCTTTCCTTTTTGGCAAAAGACAACAACCACAAGAATCTTTATCCTTATCTACACTATCACTTGCACGTTCAATTTTCACTCTGTTCTCTTTTCATTTTTTTTCTCTTTTTTTTGCTTCACCCTAATCGTTTACTCTGCTTTTGTTTTTTCTATTGAATTAGTTGATGCATTTTTTTTTCAAAATTTTCATAATTAACTAAATGAATGGTTTTTGTTGTTGGAGTGGATGAGGGAAGACAGCAATTTTTGTTGAGGGAAGCTAACAATTTTTCCTCAATTGAAATTCATTCCAATTTTAGTTTTCATTTATTAAAATTGTTATTTAATAATAGGCTAATAGTGCTGGAATGAAGGAGGAAGAATTTGACAAGTGAAGATCCAAGATAAATGATGACTAGGAAGGAAATAGAGAGGTCTATTTTTTAGTGAGATTACTGTAGCAGTCTCTATGACTGTCAAATGACTCCCATCTAGTTTGACATGTGGCTCATTAATCATTTGAGAAAGCTATCTATATTTTTTTCCCTTTTTCTTTTGGTTTTCTTTTTCCCTTCATTTCCTTTTTCCTTTTTGGCAAAAAACAACAACCACAAGAACCTTCATCCTCATTTATACTATCACTTGCACGTTTAATTTTCACTCTGTACTCTTTTCATTTTTTTCCTCTTTTTTTTGCTTCGCCCTAATCGTTTACTCTGCTTTTGTTTTTTCTATTGAATTAGTTGATGCATTTTTTTTTAAAATTTCCATAATTAACTAAATGAATGGTTTTGTTGTTGGAGTGGATGAGGGAAGATAGCAATTTTTGTTGAGGGAAGATAACAATTTTTCCTCAATTGAAATTCATTCCAATTTTAGTTTTCATTTATTAAAATTGTTATTTGATAATAGGCTGATAGTGCTAGAACAAAGGAGGAATAATTTGAAAAGTGAAGATCCAAGATGAGTGATGACTGGGAAGGAAATAGAGAGGTCTATTGAATTTAAAATTAATCAAAGTCTGTTAATTTATAGATAGATAATTATATTTCCATATTTTGATTTATTTAAAATTTCTTAATAGCGACAAATGGTTATTTACTAGATGAGAACGATGATATGTAAAGGAATTGTTAGGGCTACTAACTTAGGATATGAATAAAATATTTCGTATAATCTCTTCATTTTGGGTTACTGACTTGTATCCATGATAGGTGGTTTATTTTCATAGTATGATAGTTTGAGAAGACAAGAAGTGCAGAATTAGATTTTAAAATCATTTGCTTAAGTTGGTTCTATGAATTTGTTTTTTTTTTTATCACTTTTATTGTCCTAATGATAATATAAGGTAGATGTGGAACTGGATATATCATGACTATTTGGCTGAAGTAGTTGATAATTTTTTATAAACTCAAGTAGCTGAATTGATTGCTGTTGTTAAGGAATTGCAATTAGTGGTGGAAGTCAAAATTGAGACTTTTAACCTAGAGAGTGATTTGACAAAAAATTTGTTAAAAAATTCAATCTTGATTAATAAGATATTTTTGCGATCAAATAAATGGTTGGTTTCGAATTTGTACATGTACATTTGCAAACATGGCAGTTCATATTTTTATCTAATATTGCTATTTGTATTCTCAAACTGTTTGGCAGATAATGTTATCACCTATTTGTAATGCTATTAAAAAGGATTTAAATGGATGGATTAACAACTCGCCTTTTCTCTAAAAAAGACAAAAAAACAATGTGTAGGTTTGTATGTTTTGAAAAGGATAGAAAAATATGCAAGTTTGTATGTTTTATTGATGTTGAAAATTGTGACAGATCTTGGCAATTTTCTAAACTTTTTTCTAATTATTAAACTGCTAGAAGTATTATGACTACTTTTGGTTTAGTCACAATTAAAGCTATGCTGCCATTAAATTGGCAATGTAGTGTACTTATTATCTCTCCTTTTTTTGGTATTATTATGCACACATAGAATTGGTTCAAAAATCTTTGTCCAAATCACAATAAATAGCAGACTAACTTCATAAACGAAATTTCTCTTCATAGCAAATTTTAATTGTTTTGATGCTCAAAATTTCTCCTGTATTTACCAAAAAGATTTATTGCTCTATGTTTAACTAAACTTCTAAGGGGCACAGCACGGCCAAGATACATCTACTAGTAGTATAAATATGGTGTAGAAAACAAAATGTATTAGTGGACTGAGATTTTTTTTCCTTTTTATTTAACCAAAAATTTTTTTTTTTTACTTTTTCTGTTGTCATGCTTTTGGGGCAGGTTATAGGGTACCCGCCCTTAAAAAAAATATTTTCCAATAAAAAATATTTTTCATTTAATATCAATATGTTTTCCAATAAAAAAAGTATGCTTTCCAATTAACATTGGTAGAGATATTATAATCAAAATCCATGCATCACCATTCTCACACATTTCATCCAATAATCAAACCGATTTCATAAATTTAGTACATATTAGAATTATAATATCTAATAAATAAAATGAAATTTTATGATAATTTAGAGTACATCATCATTCTCAGGCATTTCATCCTCTACAACATAACAAACACAAGAATAATAAGTATATGACAACTTTTCCAAGTATAACAAACACAAGGATAAAACGAAGTTTTATAATAATTTTGAGTACATCACCATTCTCACGCATTTCATCATTTTACAACAGAACAAACACAAGGATAATAAGTATATGGCAACTTTTCCAACTTCCTTAAGGATGTTATGGTACAAGATTGCACTTAAAATGAGTCGATTGTGGAATCATGTCCGGAAAGAAATTGAACAGAGCTAATAATTTTTGAAGAAAGTATAACCAAAATAATCTTGAAAAATTTTCTCCAACTTTTACCAAAATAATTTTGAAAAATTTTTTCCAACTTTTTTACATCTTTGGAATAGGCCTTTTGCATTAAAGGTGATGAAAAGAAAAATAAATTTCTTGCACTAAAATAAAGGAGACAAATTTAAGAGACACAATTGCAATAAAATAAATAAATAAATGAAAGACACAAATTCGATTTGAGTATTCAAATGGGTGATAGGTGGAATAATGTCTATGCAAGTTGGATTTTGAGATTTTGCCTGATTATAATTAATCTAGGTCAGTTGCTTGGAATCCATCTGAGATTGTTAAAAATCTGGAATATTGTCAATGACTTTAATGGTAGATAAGTGGTGTTTTGTAGAAAGAAAGGGGTCAATTAGACATTGAAACTTAGGTTCTACAAATCACAAGAATTACTAGAGAGCATATTGCACCAAGGTTCATTTGGAGGTTGTTTTGTCATGATTTAGATGAATTGTGCAGATTTTTGTCCTTTGCAGGCAAATATAGGACTCTCATGTAATGTAGTTGCAACTTGACGTTTGATTTGAGTATTTAAATGATGGGTGGTGGGTGGAACAGAGTATATGCACATTGTATTGGATTCTGTGATTTTGTTTGGATTCTAATTAATTTCAGTGAGTTCCTAGGAATCTATTTGGGTTTGTAAAAAATCTGGAATGTTGTCAATGACTTTAATACGTGGTGCTTTTGGAGAAAAGATAAAAGGTTAATTAGAAACCGAAACTTAGGTTCTGGAAATCCCAAGAATTACAAGAAAGCATGTTGCACCAAGGTTTATAGGTTGGTTTTTTACGATTCTATAAGGTTAATGGCAAAGAGTAGCAAGAACACACTAAAGTTTAGTTTGAAATTTTTTAGACTGTATATCCTTTGCTGGTATATATAGGACTCGTATGTAAGGAGGTTGCACTTTGGGAGGAACAAAGTGTACGTGCATCTTGTTGCAAACTAATTGATTACTTGGAATTTATTTATGAGTTGTTAGATATTTGGAGTATTGCCTATGAATTTTACAAGCAATTAGTAGTGTTCTGGTTAAATAGGTGGAGAAAAGAAAAATATGTTTGAGAAATCCCAAGAATTACAAGTATTGCCACAAGGTTCATTTGGAAACATTTTTTAGAATTCTACAAGGCTTAAGGTAACCAGAACTTTCCATGTTTAGTTAGAAGTTTGCTGTGTTAATTGTGCAGAGTTAGTTCCTTTGTAGGCATTTAGAGGAGTCATAAACAAGGATATTGCACTTCGGGATTTAATTGATTGGCCTGATGGTGACACAAGGAATTGAATATCGCATCTTTTGGATTCTGTCTAATTTAATTGATTGGCCAGATGGTGACACAAGGAACTGAATATCGCATCTTTTGAATTCTGCCTAATTTAGGTGAGTTACTTGGGATTTATCTACTGGTTTGTTACAAATTTCGAGTATTGTCAGTAATTTCATGGTAGAAGTAGTATTGAATTGAAATAGATGGACAA